TCACAATCGGTGCAGAGATACATGGAAACTTCCTGGGCATTTCTGCGACATGCCCAACACTTGGTTTTCAAGAGCTGACAATTCCAACAATCTCCAGCGTCACCCTTGCATAGCCTACAGAATTCACGACTGCATGTGGCACAAGTGAATTCTGCGTCCGGGCGCTTCCGGTCGTTCGGATTGTCTTGAGCACAGATCCTCGGTACACCGGGTCGACCGTTGCCAGGCGCACCTCTCGCAGTTGGTCCCGAGGCCTGTCCGCGATCGGATGGGGTGCCAGGAGTCCTCCAGCTATCGCCGGGACTCTGGATGTCAGCACGAGCTCTGCTCCCAGGAGTCCTCCAGCTATCGCCGGGACTCTGAGTGTCGGCATGAACCCTGCTACCCCTATCACCTCTAGGTGGATGGTTTGGGTTCGGAGAAACACTCCCGCTATCGCGGATCGGCCTTTCTAGGTTCGGAGAAACGCTCCCGCTATCGCGGATTGGCCTTTCCCCCCTCGATTGCCGATTCCTGACCTCAGACCCCCTATCAGGGACAGCAGTAGGTCTCGGGCTCCTGTTTCTACCTACATCCCTATTCGGGGAAACTGAAACATCCCCCCTGACATGCGCCCAGGGGCCTTCCCTCGCGCGCCCTAGAGGGGAGTGTGACCTGTCAGGCAGTCCTTGGGCCCTTCTGCTTCTGCTGTCCGCTCTCTCCCTAACGGGATGAATGGGATGTCTGTCTGCATGAGAAGCATCAGCCCTAACGGGTGCGTTTGGCAAAGTGTGGTCAGTCAGGGTATCCCGACCATGTCCATCCCCAGGGGTAGGTGTCGGTGACCTGATCCTGTGTCCCTGCCTGCCCAGCAAAGGCGTTGTAACCAACGTTCTGTCTTTCTCGGAGTCCACGAGGATTCTGCTGGACGCCCTGAATTCTGTCAGCCGCGTCATCGACGTGTCCTTCAATTTCAGCAAGCTGCGCCATAACTCTGTTGTTCATCCCATTCAGAGTGCGAACGTTGCTTTCGACAGTTGTCACTCTTCGCATCGTGGCATCCAGCGAGTTGCGATATGAAGCGAGTTCACGCCTAACGGTGGACTGCGCCTGCTCCCTACTCGATGGGAGGCTACGAACCTGCCTTCTGATATCTTCGATAACTTGTTGGAGAATCCCCGAACTTGCCTCGTATGCTGTAATACGGGAGTTCGCAGCCTCAACCTTCAACGACAATGTCGTGATCTCGACGTTGACGGTGAAAACCACGAGAAAGATCCTGGATCTTCCGATGGATCTCCTCAATTCCTTCGTGCCAGTCCTGAGGGGAATCAGGCTCTGCGGGTCTATCGACAACCTGGTATCCCCTTCCGCTTCGCAATCTTGACACTTGTTCGGCAAGACCAACTTGCTCTGCATGAAGACCACCAATAGATTCGGTGATCCACTTCGCAAGCTTGTCGTGTTCGACGTGGAGTTTCTCGAGCTTCAGGTTCAATTCCCTGAAATTCGCATCCGTTCCGCTGCTGGTAGCCCTATCGGGCCCCAACGCAGTTGGATCACCGGCCGGCGTCCGCAGCCCGACGACCTTTTCCACCGAGAAGATTCGTTTCTCGAGCTTCTCCAAATCATTTAGGGTCTCATCTTCAGATGCAGCATCGCTCCTGCGGATGGCCTGATGATTTTCCTGAATGACCTGACGAAGCTGACCAATAGCGACCTCAGTGTCCTTAACGGATTCCCGAACTTCACTAGATATCAAGTTGATCCTCTGATCCACGATCTCAGCCTGTTCATCGATGGCATGCCTAACAATGGCCCTGCTATCCGGGACGATCTCACCGGCAAATCGCTGAACTATCATTCGCATCCTATCGGCATCAGATTGAGTCGCAACCTCAGTAGCCAAGCGACTAACCCTGTCCTTCGCCTGCTGATTCTCGTCGCTCCAATCCTTTCGCATGGAACTCACCTGACCATTCAGTAACCTGATTTGGTCAGCAAAAATGTGGAATGCCTTCGCGACTGAACCAGACACTTCCCTCTCGAGCATCTCCTGGATGTGTAAATCAAACACTTCCTTCGCCCTAGCGTCGCCTGACTCACCAGAAGAATGGGATCTGTAGCCTGGAGGAGTCGATATCTTGATCCTCTCAGGAGCCCTACCAGCTCTGACATACCCTCTGGGGTCGAGCGCAGGACTATCATCAATCCTGGAAGGCCTACTCGGATGGATCCCCTTCTCCGGCTATCGCCAGATCGGGGATCAATATTCGATGCACGAGACTCAGGAGTAGAGTGGATATGAACATCAGCGGGATCGAACATGCGGAGTGAACCTATCGGTGCAGGGCGAGCTCTCCTCGCCTTTGACCTATCGGTCTCTATGGCTAAGGGTGACGGCCTCTTCGCAGAAGCACTACGTTCCCTGGCGGCCGATCCCCATTGGGGAGTGAACTCATTGCTAGACCTTAGCGGTTCAAGGTCGCTGGGATCTCGCCCTAACGGGCTAGCGATCGACGGACGATCCTCGATTCCGAGTGCATTGGCAAGCCTACCGTCTCTCGCACCTGCTTCAACTACTTCGGCAGCCCGCTCAGTGATCCTTGGCGAACCAGTAACCCGGTTTGCGTTCTCATCTCTCTGATGCAGCGGACCTCTAAAAGCAATATTGGGAAAAGGGGGAACATTCGGGGTAATGGTCAAACGCCGGAGGACCTATCGGTCCGCTTCGGTCATGGATGGCCTCCAAACCCTGAAGAACCTCCCGGCTATCCCTGGCCCTCTCTCTCTCGCTCCGGGTATCCCTGTCAACACGAAGATCCCTCGCAGCTCCCCGAGGGAGGCTCCTGGGCCTAGCAGCAGCACGGCTCCTTGCACTTCGGCGTGCCAAATTCTCTTCCTCATCACGACGATCCGCAAGTGCGGCATAATCGTCATCATCTTCGAACTCAAACTTGGCTGTAGCAGGATTAGGCCTATCGGCATCAGACTCCTGCTTCACGCTACTGCCCCAGCCTGCCATTAACGTTAACAGAGCATCGTATCCAATTCCTGTAAACGTCCTCTCCACGTGCTCATCAAACTGACCTGGATTTTGAGAACCAGTGGATCGACCCGAGATATCTCTCGGAGCCGGAACCATGGTTCCTGGTCCTCTCGACCTGTCCCCGAGCTCATCCGAGACCTGCGATTCACCTGGAACAAGAGACCTTGGGGGTCGGGTTGGCATGGCCTCCGGGTCGTCTGAATGAGGGCGGGCCATGTTCATCGCCATGCTGATGAAGTCCAAATGTCCATGCCTGAGACCTGACTCAGAGCCGCCCCTATCGGGGCGAGCTCTTTGCGCTTGCTCATCATCGGTGGCCTGACGGAAAATGCGATCGTCTCCATCGTCAGTGGTGCCCGAATCACAGGTTATCAGCCGTAGGACTTTCCTACGCGCTTGAGACCATCAACTACAAGCTCTATGTCGACCCCACGATCACACAGGAGTGTCGTGGATGAGGAGGCCATCCTCGGAGGTCTCCGCTCAGGTGAGGACTTGCCGGACTATAACTTCGAGGAATTTGAGGTAGGTTCAGCAGGTCAGGACCGCAGGGGTGAAGATCCCGATAGGGACACACCCAGAAGCCGTGGCAGGTGGAGCCTGTGCCCAGGCAATGGGTAAGTTGGGGTAAACAAGCCACAAAAGAAAGGTTCCCCAAAAGCAAACCAATCCCCGGTCCCAAAGATCAGGGTTTCCCACACACCAGAGAACAACAACCAAAACAAAGAAAAGAGTTACCCGCAACCTTGACCGACAACAGGCCGCACGAATGGTCCCTACCAACCTGACGGCGGCCCGAGGTCTCTTTCTCCCCCGAGATGTCGTCGGTCGACGCAGGGGTTCGGCGACGCCCATTCGAGGCGCGACGGAATCCATAAATCTTGAGCCAAACATCACAGGTCAGTCACTACCGCGACGTCCCTGATGATGAAATGAACCATGGCTAATCACAGTATCATTGTTTAGATTATTATGTCTGTTAGTTCTATTAGTATTGTCACTAGTATTATAACGTGGGTTGTCATTCTTATGCGAACTAGATGGACTACTATGATCATTGTTGTTGTGATTGGTTCTCTCATTATTACTATCATAATTGTTATCATCATCACCATCATCATCATTATCATTGCTGTTTTTGTTATTATTGTGATTATTGATGTTGCTGCCACTATTATCTTTGTGTTTCTTTTGTTGTTTGTATCTTTATGCTCATTCCCATCATTATTATCTTCCTCATTACTACACTGGCCAAACAAAAGTTGCGCTTCTTGAAGGCCTGAGCGATTATAATCCCTTCCCCCTAAAATCCTTCAGGAAAAGACCTACGGGGGTGTGCGCGGTCAATTGTGGACCTGGGAAGCCTTTCATTATTATATATTTAAAACAGGGTGATGAGTGACCGTCCCACGCCTGCCGCACAAAATGCACTTGTTAATTCGATCCGCGGCTGGCCTGAAAACGTCTTTTTCAAAGCAGGCATGAAGTATTATCATTGTTGTTAGTATGTTTGTTGTTATGATTGGTTCTCTGATTATCCGTATCCATCATTATCACTCTTGTTGTTGTTATTATTGTGATTACTGTTATTATTGCTACGTTAATTCTCATGTTTGTATCATTATGCACATTATCATCATTGGTATTATTATCATTAGTGGCATTGATATTAGTGTTATTGTTGTTATTGTCGCTATCATTATTACCATTATTATTATCACTATTATTATCACTATTATTATCACTATTGTTGTCATAATTGTTGTTATTGTTATTATCGTTACATTGTCACTGTTTTTGATGTTATTATTGTCATTTGTTCTTTCTATTATTATCATTATTATTATCATTGTTATTCTCATTATTGTTGTCATTGTTACTATCATATAATTATTTCTGGTGCAATGCACACAACACATACATGCCCCCAAAACGTTGCGGAAGTTTTCGTTGCTCTGCTCCCTGGTGGGTCCTCCACGACGGAGAGGCGATCCAGGCGCAAACCCACATCCAGGTCCCATTCCTGGCAGGCATGTCAAGGATTCGGTTAGGTTGGTGCCACTCAGAACTGGCCACGTCATTCTCCATCGAGCCTTTCACTGCAATGTACTGCAAACCTTTCTGCCCAGGCAAAAACTGAAATGAGCCTCACTTGTGCCGTGGCTGCTCTGACGCCCAGCCTTTCTCTATGGCTTGTTTCATGGGATGGCAGCGCTGTTTCCTCCCAATCACTCTCTGTTCTGTTCCAGTCGCGCGCACGAACGCAGCGTGGGGCAGAAGGAGGGGGAGGGGTCGAAAGCTTTTGAGATATTCATGGTAACAAGCCTAAGCAGCCGAAGAGGTTTGGGTCTCAACTTGGAGCAATTTCACAAAGTGGTCTCGCCCGCCTCCAGCATGCCGCCAGCCCCCGCCAACAACAGTCCCAGGTGCTGCGGCGATCCGGGCAACACCGTAGGCAGCAGCGCATAGGGCAGCCTTAGACAGATCTTTGCGTCGTGCCGTCAATTTGCAGTTGAAAACTTGGCGGACAACGGCAAACATCTGTTTCAGGTACAGGCCTCACGGCCAACTGGCTAAAACAACAAAGGCACCGTGCACGCGCGAGCCATTCACAATGAAACACGTTCTGGTTCAGTTGAACTTGCATGCACAAACAGCTCAATGGAACTGCATCGCCTGGATTTTTCGAGGGCGCTTTTTGATTTCTCGCTTGCTGCTTTGCAATGCACTGGAAATTTGGGAAAAGCTCACAAGCAAAGCAATTGCAAATATGTTTGTCAAAGGCAAACTCCAGCTCGGCAGGTGGCAAGCCCTCAGGTGACGAGCCGTCCGTGGGCAGGTCCTCCACTGCTTCGAAGGCCACCTGGCTGTTGCCACACGCTAGGCCTGAAAGCCAACTACGGTTTTTCTTTGGCATCAAACAGCAGCTTTGCAGAGCATAAAAATGGAGACCCCAGACGGCAGAGAAATTGCCAACTAAAAAGCGAGTCAGTAAATGCCAGCAATGACTGTCGAAGTAGATAGGGTGAAAAGAGCAAGCGGCGGGCCCTCAGTTCCCAGAGGCAGTCAGTGTTGAGCACGTCCGACTTATACGGACTATTCGAGATTCACAATGTGAAAGCACAACAAAAGCACCGCAACACCTTTCCAGTGCCCTCCGAGCCTTGCTGCTCAAGCGAGATGGTGGCGTGCTGCCTTCGCTATCTGCCTTGCACGTCATCCAGCATCCCTCTAGCAATGCACAGCGCACAAATGTGCTTATTGAAGCAAGCGATACTTCCCACAGGAAACCCTGCAACATGCCCGTGAGGGTATGCTTGGGGGCCAATTTGATTTGCCAAATGGCGCCTCTTCCACACCGGAGCCTTCTACGGGTGCAGCACGTGGCTTGGACGGCTTCATGGGAGCGAGCAGCAATGGCGTGGCAGCCTGGCCGCAAGATGCTCTGAGGCACTATCCTTTCTGCAGCGACGGTGGCGTTCTTGCCTCGCAGTGCAGACACGGATTGAGTTGTGGCACTTGCCGCAATTTGAGTGACAAATCGTGACAATTGCAGTAAGGACAGCCTGCACGATATATTGTATCGGATTAGCCGGAAAGCTTGGTCTGTACACGCTTCCCCTCCAAAGGAGTCTTTTTAGTTTGAGTCCGACTGCATCCATGGATCGCGCCTGAGCCAATGCAGGAAACGAATTTTGCACGGCCACGTGGCAATCCACCTGAGGCAAGAAAACTCATCAGAGCGCTGCCTGAGCAGTATCTGCTGCTCAGCGCACAAGCCACAATGCCAGTTGTTTGCTTCCCTATCTGCAGCTCCAAGTGTTTTGTCGGCTTTGTCAATATATGACCGAGGCTGGGCATTCATCACTTGCCTGATGCGCTCTGGCTACAAAGGTTGAATGTAGTTTTCTCCACAAGTCTGAACATCAACACAGTATTTCATCCACAAATCCCGCGGGTTACATAGGCTTTCCAGTCCCGCAAGCCTGACAGCAGATTGGGTCAATGGCATGGGCAATCAGGCTTGACAAGGAAGGGTATGGGAACGGACCCGCTGATTCAAGACTCTCCTCACAGGCGACACAAAAGTCTGCCCACCTGAGAAAGCAACAAGCCTTTGGGACATCGGTGAATAGACGCAGCGCGTGCTGCCTGAGCCACAAAGGAGTCTGACCTGTCACTCGGCGCCCCCACCAGCAGCCGCGACAGCTGCGGAGCCCTGGCCAGCGCCTGTGGCAGCTGCCTGAAGAGCCCAACCATTGCAATGATTTCCGCTGACCCCTTATCATTCTTATCATTTTTAACATGTTTGTCCCCAAGCTGAGGCAAAGGGGCGGGGAATGTGACATCGCGGTTGATTGCGCGAGTGTGCGGTTGGCCTCGCTTTGAGCTTTGCTGTTTTACTTCGAAAGTTTTAAGCTTCATCACCAAGCTGCCTACTACCAAATTCATGCCTGTTGTTCAAACACAAGTGGCAAACGTATCTGCCTTTTTCAATAAAAGAAAGTGATGCTTCAACACACAGCTACCTATTACAAATGGAACGCCGCCCGTTGCTTAAACATAAGTCGCAAACGCCTTCGCTTTGTTCCCTCAAATGTGTAACAAGGCACAGCTGCCTAGTGGAGAGGTTCCGATTCTTGATTGAACACCAGTAGCCGTCTTCCTTGTCTTTTTCCTTTGGTGTCTTGTTTAAAATCAGCGGAAATCTCTGTCTCTGCCTTCCGCACCCCGGCTATCCGCCCGCGAGGTCAAAGCAACACCCTCACGACTGGGTGTGACTAAGTTTCGGAAGGGCGGCTGAAACTCCAGACGTGCTGCTACTGTCCGAAGCCCTTCAAATTGGAGATGCTTGGCTCTCGCCTGGGCACTGGAGCGCACTCGAGAAGGGACAAACAGGGCGGCAGTCCCTTCACGTCCTGCGCGTGTCGGCCATGTCGGATGAGTCACTTGGCCAGTTCCACAAGACCTTGCTCGGGGTTGCAATAGCTCCGAAATCTTCAACCACTGGGCGGAACAATTAAACAATTCAGGCTCACCGAAGGCATCCAGTAGAAGAAGCCACCAAGACTTGATGTGGTAACCAAAAAGACCTTGATTTCCTCATACCATTGATTGCATGTAGTCGTCATAGCAGTCCCTGCCTTCTTCACCCACGCAGCCACGAGCTCCTCCACAACGGCTACAAGGCCGACTACCTGAGAAGCCCCGACGCGCGACGCGCACAGCACGGTTGCGTGCCCCGCGCGCCTGGATCCAGCCAAGGTCCAGCATCTGTCGGACCAGCTCTTGCAGCCTTGGAGGCACCTCCTCGAACCCCAAGAGCTCCTCGAGGCCAGGCTCAACGCGAGAGCAATCGGGCGCTGACAGCATAGCCAAGCACAGAGGCCGCAATCTTCTGGCCCAAGTTGCAGGTATGACTTGCAAGAGCTCCGCAACGCTGCGTCAATTACGGCGATCTCGTGCATCTGCATATTATACGCATATTATATGTTATATGATACAAATATATATATATATATGTATGTATGTATGTATGTATGTATGTGATGTGAATGAATCAAATAATGCACACATAGAACTATGTGGCTGAGTTGTGGAAAGAAATCAGCCTCATGACGCGTGATGCTGAGGACATGTCTGACAAACAAAGAGACAAGCAGGGTGCCTCAAGCCATGTCTACTGAAACTCATACGCTTGTGGCTAAGGAGCTTTAGTCCTTGTCTCCTGTCTGCTCTTGCAAGCAGTGTGCTCATGCTGTGGCCCTCGCGTTTTCTGCTTTAGTTGGTAATCCGGGCTACAACTGAGCTTGAGCTCTGCTGGGAAGCCCACCTCTGCGACCAGCGCAGCCAGCTCCGGCGCCAAACACGCTGAGTCGCAGGCCCGCAGCACACTGAGCAGATCCCCCACGCTGCAGAGCCTCTGACACATGAATTTGGAAACGTGATACCCATGTACAGAGCCCATCCACATCTTCAACCGAGAAACCAAAAGCTCACGTGTCGAAGGCGTTGACCATCTTTTGGCGCTTTGCCTCTGAGCTGAGAGGCTGATCTGCCAGCGCCAGCTCCTTGGCCGCAAACGCCAGCGCCTCTGGCGCCCCATGGGTTGCCTGGGTTCGGAGTCTCGGATTCTCGGAGTCTCGTTTCGGCAACCCTCATTTCAAGTCCCACAAGTTCTGCCTACGAACGCTTTTGACATGGCAAGCTGGCATGCAGAATTCCCTCACGTTCCCTCCACGGCCCTTTGCGTGTAGTTTTCAATTTCAAGAAAAGCCTGCCGAAGCTGTCAGCTTTCCACCCTTGCCCGGCCCCACCAGCAGGCTCCGCAGCTCCCGCTCTGCGCCGCGGCTGCCAAAGTCACCGGCGCAGCGCAACAGAGCGCGGCGGATCGCCTCCTCTCGGCGGATCAACCAACCCCCGGATTGAACGGTTCAGCTTAAACTCTTTGGGCGGAGCGGTGGCATCCAGTCTCAATTCTTGCACTGCTTGTTAGCGACTGAGAGGAAACACCAAACTGGCCCGGCTAAAACTGATAGCCCAAAAATAGCAAAGCGTGGGTAGGGATCATTCACTGATCATGTGCGTCATCACACTTTGCGTTCGGAAAGCAAAGAGTTGCTTGCTGTACCGTCAAGAGAGCTTGGGTACTTAACAATGAGCGAATCAGGAAACAGGCCCGGCAACATGGCATTGCCTTTTAGCCTTTTAGCATTTCAGCTCTTGCCTTTTAGCTCTTTCGGGGATGAGGCCATGGTCAGCTTCAGGTCCTGGAGCGACGGGGCTCCCTTGGACTCCATAGCTCTGCGCCCAAAGTTGATCGCTTGAGCAAGTCGTGACTGGTTCTTGGAAATGCACAGCCAGCTCTAATGACTCTAATGACTGTGTTGCTAAAGCCGGCAAGGGTGCCATGTCCGTGTTTGCAGCTCTGGCTCATTGCTTGGGCCCCACAAGCTGCGGAGGCACTCGAATGCTTTGCAGCTTCCCCTTCCTCCTCTCTTGAAGTATCGTACAAGAGGCGCTGGTCTAAGTTCCTGGACTGCTGGTAGGCTGGGCCTTCTCCTGAAGTATGTCATGCTTGGACACGGCATAAAACGCAGAACAGCAAAGTAATGACCTGTATGAGATATAGCAAAGCACTAAACAGGACGATAAGTCTCCACAAAGGGGTCGCCCCACACAAGGGGGCCGCAACCGTCAGAATCATGCCAGATTGGCACCTGCCACTTGGCTCCTCTTCTGGAAGAGCGCCTGCGTAGCTAAAGACACCTGCAACTGATCGGCGTCCAAGCCTACAAACCAAACCTGCAACGTGGCAAGCTGTAATCTAAAGCAAAGTGGTCTTCCAATCAAACGGTCACGCTCCTGTAACTGTCTTTTCCCGGGCACAAAAGCAAGAGCTTCAACAGATACAACTTCAACTATGCTTACTGGCTAGACAAGACCTGTCTTGCTTACCATTTTGAACCACAGGGCCCTTTTCCTTGCCTAACAAATAAGTGACACAGCCAGGACCCTCCCAAGGCGCACCAAAAGGTGCAGAGAGAGGCAAGCGTAACATCCACTCTGCCGAAGGCATGAAGGTCGGAACCTGCAAGGTGAAGCAAGTGAAGCACGACGAGAGCAGGCGGCAAACATTGCACCACGCTGACGATGTGTTCAATCTGAGAAAGCAGATGTTCAAGGCTCTTGGTCGCTTCAAAACTCTGAATGGATGTCTGCTCAGCATACTGAACTTGATGGCGCCAGTAACCACACAACGGCTTAGCCGACCTGCATGCGGTACAGCTCGATAAACGTTCTCTGGTGGATGTCCTGAGCCAGCACTCCATCCGTCAAAGTGTCGGCATGGCTTGTTCGAAGATATTTGTGTCAACACGTAATGGCACCGCCTGCGACCTGAGGCCCTGGATACATCAACTCAGTGACTCCGAGAGGGAAGCACGAGCTGTGTGCGCATCAAGAACACTAGAACCAACACACATGGGCCATGGCCATGGCAACCAAAAAGCACGAGGCCAAGAAGCTGAGGGCAAGAAGAACGCTGCCGAGCACCGAGCCATTTCCTGGCGATTGGCTGTATGGAGCAGCATAAATTTGATGACCCATATTTCAGCTTCAGGGTCACTTCTGTTGGCCTCAGTGGGGTCGCTTTGAGGCCAAGCAACTCCAGGGCTCGCGAGGCGTGCCTCCCAGCTCTTCCAGTCGTTGGAGCCCTGCAAGGCTCAAGATGGTAGCTATCTCACGGACACAGTTGACCCAGCCTTCAGGCAGTGCAAGGTACACAGCTCAAATGAACGTGCATTGAACTGGCAAAGTGAACTGTGTCCCTCTCTCGAATCTGCTTGAACCTCCAAAGTAGCGATCAGCAGCTTGTCAATTGATAGCAAATTCTCCGTGGCATAACAAGCACGTATAGAAACGACAAATTGCAAACGCCGGCCAAAACACAATGGCGGCCCAAGTCAGAGACTCAACGGAGAGTAAGCCGCAGTGCTCCGACTACTCTTGTCTGGAGTTAAAGCCCCCCCCCACCTGCATGCTGGGCACCTCCGAGAACCAGAAATGACCACCTGGCTCGGGTTGCATCTCCATCCGGACTATTGTGTGCGCAGAGATGATGGAAACTCGCATTGGCCAACCCTCCACTTGCAACCGCCGAAAAAGGATGGAAAGGCAAAGGAAGGGATGCAGGGAGGCAGGGAGGAAGGTAGGGAGGGAGGCAGGGAGGGCGAGAGGGAGACAGAGAGAGGAAGAAGACAAGACGAGAAAGCAGCATTCACCCAGCCATAGGACTGCCCAAATCTTTCATCTTCTTTTGTGGTGCACATGCAGCCCTCTTTGTGGTTTCCCAAGAGGGACTATGGATTGGGAGGGTTGGGCGGCTTGGCCTGCGGCCTTTCTGAGGCTAGAGCTTTTGTTGGAATGCCGGCCGGAAGTCAATGCACTGCACACATGTCGGTAAGTCAGGCTCTGAAAACATGAAAGCTCTTGTCCAAGTCATGCCGGCACCGCGGGCAGCATCTGCTAGAGGCTGGTTGATGATGGCAAATTCAGAGAGAAGACAGCGCAAGAAGAAACCTAAGAAACTGGACAAGGGGCAGCCCAGCAAATGCTCTACCCATTCCTACGGGTGCAGCTAACAAACACCTATGCATAGAGCTAGCCTGGAGAGCAAATTGTTGGTGTCTTGGCAGATTCGTACCTAAAGTCCCAGCCTGTCGGGTGATTGAAAATCCTCGCTCGGGTCACCAGCACGGTGGGGTGCTTCTCCTCCGCGTTGAGATAGCCTTGCTTGTCAAAGTTCTCACAGCTGGTGCAAAGGGCCACATCTGTGCATTTCATCTGGGTCTTCATGTCTTGATGTCCTTCTCAAACGTCTGACGCCACCGCTGGTTCATGCGGAATACAAACCAAATGCTCACCTACGCCCGGCCACCCGGCCTGTGCTGTCCAAGTACAGGGCCAGAGCTGGACAGCTTGGCACCAAGATGCCCAGCTGTTGCTGCAGCAGAGCCGACAGCACCGCGCCCTGCACATGCCAGGTTTTGGCGGGATATTGCCTGGGGCCTGGTGGACAACGAAGTGAGGTGGAGATGCGGGGCTTTGCAGCTTGAGACCAGCCGCAGCAACATTACATGATTGGTTGGCAATAGGTATGCACTCAACAAGCAGCATGTCGCTGTGAACACTAGAAACTTCCTCTGATGGCAGTCCAGGGACCTCAAACTGGCACTGTCAAGACCGTGCCTCCCAGGCCAAGCAGACCACATTTCTGGAAACTGGTTTGCCGAGCACCCAAACAAATGCGTGCCGAAAGTTTGCTTGCGGCCTCACACACAAACCTGTTTAAGCGCCCCTCGTGAGATGCACTTCTAAACTTCTTGTCAAGTACTCACAGCCCAAAAGAACATGATAGCCCTCATCGTGCTGCCTCAGCCAGCACCACCAGAGGTAGAGGACCTGCTAAGAGGTCCCTGCGACAGCTGACAGTGAGCTCTGCGGATCCAAAACAGTTTTCAATGATGAGAAGCGTTAATGGTCATTAGCTTAAGCAACTGTCTGTCTAAGTTCAAGCAACAGCTAGTGCACCCTATCCTGTGGCCCATCTACGTGTTGAGCGCGGGAAAATGTCGTGTGGAGCCTAGCCAAGCGCATGAAGCCCAGAGCTCCAGTGCTTTGTGGGGCACCAAAGAGCAGCCTAGGCAGCGAGCAGCGTCTGGTGACAGTAAGTCTCTGGTTGCCTACGCCACAGTGTGCACCATGTGTCCACGATCCTAACACTGCATACCCCGAATGGACATAGGCCAAAACTCAGTGGTGATAAATGGGATATAATCATATGGGTTGTACAGGGGGCATCCAGGGCACATACACCAGAAAAGCGCTCTTCTGGATGGCTGTTGTTCAAGTGGCAGCCAACTGGTTTGCACGCAAGCCAAGCAGCGTGGAAGATGAATGCAGCAGCATGGGGAGTGGGCCTGACGAAGACACAGCTTCATCACACGGATTCTGGGGTAACAAACAAAAGAACACAGCGGTCATTTTCTGGAGTGGTGCTTTGTTTGGCTTGAAGACGACAACCTTCCTTCAATGGAACTACCGACTCCGAGAATCTGCGTATCTGTTCACGGGCATGATCACGGTGTTTTGTTTGGCGGGTTGAGGCCCTGGACAAGGCTCTGCCTATGCCCAGCAATGGAACAACTAGTGATGGTGAGACACACCAGCCACAATACACGCATCAGCAAGCAGGAATGTTGAATCACTTCCCCCTCGCTTCTCCAACAGCTAAGGAACCTGCTCCTGACTCCTGACCTCCTCACTTGGAGTCTTTCGCTGATAATCGTGCCAGAGCGACGCAGAATATCATCTGAGAACCTTGCGAACAATCAAACTGGCAAGACGTGCTGACTGCATGTCATTACACAGACAGGATACGCAGAGAGGATGCTGCGGAAGACAAGTGCTTTATCGCTCAGTGGAAAACACCAAAGAGCTCATGCAAATGTCACCTGTTTGAATCCACATTGCAGACTTGCATGACTGATTGTAAAAAGTGCGGGGGCTCTCACCTGTCCCCGTCCGTTGCTCTTAGACTCTTGTCATCTTAGCTCTCAATTTGAGCTCCGGCCTCCAGAGCGCCCAAAAGGCCAACAGGCACATCGCTGTTGGGTGTGCACAGGCTAGTAGTCCAGCCTCCCTCAGAGGCCTAGGGGAAAAATGTAAAGGCGAAAAAGCCTGTGACAGAAACACCAATCCAACAGCAACTGAGTACAGCAGCGACTGGATGTGTCAGAAATCAGATGAGTATCCAAGGCCAGGCCCTACTTTACAATCTACAGTACTGTCTTGATTTGGGGCATCAAAGATTACTGTAGTAGAGTACGTCAGTTGGAGAACATCAAAGCACACCAGCACGGCACTACAGGATTGCGAGAGCATTCCCTAAGCCTCCGGGCAATGTGCGTAAGGCTGACAGCAATGACGCAAGCACGTCCTGCATCAGGGCCAAGCACCCATTGCATCCATGCCTTGTCCTTGCTTACAAAGCCAGCAATTGCGTTGGGCATGTCGAAGTGTTCGCACGCACGTTCGGGGGTATTTGTGCGCATGCGCGTTCGGGGATAAAGCTGCTTATCATAGGCCAATCCCTGCCAAAGCTCTCGCATTGCTTGACTTGACTCCAAAATACCCTGCATCCGGGGAAGCTTCTGCGGATGAGGCCCTTCATGCTGGCGCCCTTGGGTGGAGCAGCACTTTGGTACAGTAGAACTGCAAGCGCCAAATGCTCCTCCAGTCCCTGCCTGTCCTGTTCAGCAATCTCACCCCAATAATCATCCCCCAGGTCGTAGGACTCACCTGCCAGTCTTTGGACATGCCAAGAAGGGATGTTCATGCCAGCATGTTGAGTCGTCTTTAGGTCTCTATTCATGGCCATCCTGGTATGTCAACATGTCTGAGACCAGGAAGAATGACAGAACTTCTTCCTTGCCCGAAGCGGAGAATGGAGAATGGGTATCTTGAACCAGACTGGCATCAACTCCTAGAGACACACCCAAAGGAGTTCCAAACCAACATGCTTACTTTGCTGCCCAGCAGAGTGCCAATTTGCGGGGATTTGCCTGATCAAAGCAGCAGACTACTTACAAATCTAGGTTAAAATCATCAGAGCCCTGCTTGCCCTGTCTCCCACCTTTGATCATGTAGCGCTCAATCCACGCTGCCAGCGCATCTGCAGCTGGACTGATGCAATCCCCCAGCACCTCACGGGGGGCTGCAGAAGCGTGCGTGGGTGTGTGCGTGTGTGCAGGTGCGGGTGCGCGTTCGGGTGCGCGTTCGGGTGCGGGTGCGTGAGGCGTGCATTGGTGGGCGCGTGCATGCGTGCGTGCGTGCATGCACCTGCGCGCGTGCGAGAGCGGATGTGCGTCCGCACGTACATGCTTGTGTGCGTGCATGCCTGCGTGAGCATCGTACAGAAGCCTTTCCTGTTTTCTAATGACACCAAGTCAGAAGCACTCCTGCAAGTTCTACTTGGTTGTGCCGCTGTTTCTCTTCAAGGAGGAACAATCAATCACCTCTGTTACAAGCATGTAAATTTGGCCAAGGCAAGCCTTTCCTCCTCCGCCGGGCGAAAGTTTGTGCTCTTGCTCTCGCAATTTGGCGGGTCAAGAGAAATAATCCAACGTTGCACTGACCCGGGCCGAGACCTTGCCACTGCTTGCCATTCTTTTGCTCGCACTGCACAACATCCACAAATTGAAACACGGGAGGTACATCTGGGAAAAAATACAGGGCCGGCTCAAGCATTTGGCAAACAGGGCATTTTGGGCCGTCATTCAAAGCTGCATGTACTCTACGTCTTGCGGGCTCCTTTGGCCACGCAGCAACGCCACAACCATGACCATGACTGCAGCCACCACAGCCGCAATTGTCGCCCCAGCAATCATCGTCGTATTGCTGAGGTCCATGGCCACAAAAACCGCCTGCCGTTGCATAAAGGCAGCTTTGCAATGCATTGATAGCTTCTGTTCTTGTTCTCCCCCTCGCCTCCCCCCCACCCCCTGCTTCTTCTTCAGGGCCAATACGCTGTATTTTACAATATTCAGGTAAAAGCAAGAAGGTATTGTCAGCAAGTCGTACCAGCATCAGCATCACCAGCAGGCTGTTGGCGTGAGCTTGGTCTGCAACAATTTAGAGCCTTTGTGTAGTTTGAAGGCCTCTCGAGTGGGATTCCGGTTTCTGTACGGATGCAATTTGCAGGTAGCCAATTTGCAGTTAGGTGGGTTTGGGGTTGGTTTGGGGTGGGTGGTTTGGACTGGGTTCAGGGTTGGTTTGCAGCCGGTCTAAGGGGGCCGGCTTTGCTTAGGGAGTTTAGGGTGGGTTTGAGGTCATAAGAAAACATTGTCCTGGCAGCCTAACAACGGCCTCAAAGTACTCTGAGCTTTCTGAATTCGAGCAGGGGGCAGAGAATGCCCACGCGGCTCATTACAAACACCGTCCTCCTCAAAATGTTAACAAGCGGGGGGAAGGGGGGATGAGGAGATGAAAGTAGGGGCTCCCCAGGCACAAGAACGCAAATGAGGACACCGATGGAACAACTTCGCGGCACAGCGCACGACAAACACCATCCTGGCAGCCAAACAACTGCCCTCAAAATTATCTGAGCGCTCCAAACCCCCGGAAAAATACCAAGCTCAAGCCAACAGTTTGCAGCCAATGCTGGAGGTGCGGAATGATGAAGAGCCACAGAAGCCACTGCCGCAAAAGCCAGCAAAAGCCAGCAAAAGCCAGCAAAAGCCAGCAAAAGCCACCAAAGCCACCAAAGCCACCAAAGCCACCAAAGCCACCAAAGCCACCAAAGCCACCAAAGCCACTTTCCGGTGAGCCAGACAAAAAAGAAGACAAAGAAGAAGACAAAGAAGAAGACAAAGAAGAAGACAAAGAGGACAAGAACAAGAACATGAAGCAATCCGTTTCCAAAGTCGGCATGAAACGGCCAAGTCTGAAAACCCCTGTAGCACTGCGATCATGTAACATTGTTCAAGCTGACACTTATTTCATATCGAACTATGAACATTGAACTCAGCAAGCATGATGTTGCACCTTGCCAAGAGACCCGACTACTGCTTTCATGCTTCAATGCTACAATCACGGGTATCGTTCTTGGCAACATTGATCAACATACAGCACGGTTCTCTACGATCTGAGCAATATGCTGACTATGTTCACTGTTACCGCGTTGCGGGTGTTCAACACTCCAGTGGATGTACACCTCTGTGTCTCGCACTTGGGCTGGCCACCTGCCAGAACTCTCCTGGCAAGTTCGCTCTTGCTGTCTGCAAGCCGGGAAACATGCGCCTCCTCTTCGTTGCTCGCCAGCCAAACTGCTGGCTCAACAGGGTCGAAAACAGCGTAGACCTTCCGCAAGAAAACGTCACCCAAAATCCTTGGGCGACACCAACTGACCGTCTGGTGAGACAGACAGTGAAAGCTTCTTGCTGCCAGCGTGCATGAAAGGTAGGCCCTTCTCTGCAGGAGGCATGGACATGATGTTCAGCATGCATACCATGCCATCGGCCTTGGCTTCTCAGTCGCATTCTCTGCTTGTGTGTCCACCGTGTCCGACAAAACCCGCTAACCCCATGAATGTCATCCCAACACACAATGGGATGTAGATTTGGAGCCAGGCCAAGGATCACAAGCCGCCTTGCATGTGAAAAGCCAAGCGTCATCTTGAGGAGTGAGCAACTCTTCCTGAAGCATGGTGCTTGTGCCCCTGAACCAAGTGACAATGACATGCAACTTGTATGGGATGTCCTTGCCGAAGCTGACCTGCAGACCACCGTCCGACGGCACGGTAAGTGACAGCACGTTCAAATCCTCAGGCGCATTCGGTTTGGCAAATAAACAATAGCAATGGTGCCAGTCAAGATTAGTTCAGCTGTGAGAAATTATGGGACTGCTTGGTGGCCAAGGAAATTTATGTTGTCCACATGACACCCAAACGGAGGATATTAAACGATTGAATTGGGATAGGTGCATTCAGCATGACCAGGAAGGCAAATCACCTACCCAATTGGCTGTGTAAAGGAAATGTCAAACAAGTTGTGCTTTAAAGACTTGGTTGTGAGTTCGAGGTGGACTTAAAAACCTTGTGGGCTAGGTTCATGCTGGTGGTGAGGGCCTTCGCGACAAGGCCGGCACACTCCGCTTCTTTGACCAGAACACTGCTAATCTCGATAGGACAATGAGGCAGCATCCCTAAGGAAGGGGCCAGTATATCAAGCATATCTTACTACGTCATATTACGATACCCAGCACTCGGCATCTTAGACCAATCTGGTTCACGCGCGAAATGAGATTGCCTGCAAGTCTCAAGTGTTGCATACGCGCAAGACCCATCTCATGAAGCGCCGACAAGCTGTAGTCAGTCAAAGCTTGGGCAAAGTCAAGCGCAGGCTCTCACACAAAATACCGGTAAGCCCGAAGGGGATTTGCTGACGAGCATCGGTGTCGCATGGGCAAACGATTGTATACCCGGCTTGTTGGCAATCATTAGGTGGCAGTAGCTCGGTCAGAGCCTCAGAAATGAAAGTGCCACAACTCTATGGCAAAGGAGGGCTGTAAGACCTGACAATGTTGCGATGAAATCAAAAAGCCCATTGGCATGTTTATCTGCCTCGTCGTGTCTCAACACTGACATAGATCTGCAGTTGTGCCAACAACTACGGACAAAGTCCCAGCACAAATACAAATGAGAATGGAAGTGCTCCAGGCATGTCTGGTGGACTGTCCAGTACTTGACTTGCCTTTGAAAATTCCTGGTGCTTCAAGGTGCAGCTGCATAGAGTGGCTGCGGCAGCACCAACAAGGAGCTTCCAGAGTCGAGCGCCCCATAGCCTGGCTGGGGCTCAAAGCGGAAAAGTGCCAGAACGATCCGCTACTGTCAACCGGAGCATGGCCGATGCTATGGCGTGCGTGAACCGTCATACCTATCATCCTCTAAAGCGATCGCCTACCGTGAGTCCCGGCAAGCACATTGTCAAGAATGATAATGAGCAGATGCATCAATTGTCTCCATACATGTTAACTATTCTCGCAACAAACAAGAAGATGCTGTGTGTGTGTGTTCCAGGAGGGATCTGCTTAGCCGAGGTAGCCTCAGCTGCCTTGAAAGTGTCTGTCGACAGCACATTGCGGAGTTTCAACAAACCACACCTCAACTCTGCAACTCTGCATGAGCCTCTTGCTTTCAGCATGAGCTTGCCACTCTGCTTCTCCGTCAATTGAAAGCCAAGGGAGACAATCCAGAGACTCAAGCCATTGCTGCGGGCATACCTCAGGCACAGCTTGCAGCCACTTCGCCAAACTGGAATATCAGTGAGATGCAAACCATGCACGACAGCAATATGAGCTCATTGTCATGCTTCAAACTGCACTGCATAATCACACGTTGGCATCTCGGAGGCAGAACCATTTCTGTGCGTCCTGTTCGGCCAGGCGGCACTTGAAGCTTGTGCGCCCGCTTACGGTGCAAAAGCTCGTCTAGGCCGCCAAAGGCCAAGCTTCCACCGTTTTGAGACAGCGAAAGTGCAAAGCTGCTGCCTGACATAGGAATCCCAGAACTGCAAAGACAACTCTTGAACCTTTGTCCAGCCGTCAAATCCTGTGTGATCTTTGTGTACATGTGTCTGTTTCGTTTGTGTGTTTGGTTCGTGTGCGTCTGCGTGTGCGTGTGTCTGCGCGTGCGCGTGCGCGTGCGCGTGCGTGTGCGCGCGCGTGCTTGTGCGCGCGCGCGTGTGCGCGTGCGTGCGAGTGTGCGTGTGCGTGCGTGCGTGCGTGCGTGCGTGCGTGCGTGTACTCGCGCGCGTGTGCGTGTGCGCGCGTGCGCGCGTGCGCGCGTGTGCGCCTGTGCGCCTGTGCGCGTGCGCGCGAGAGCGCGTGCGCGCGCGCGCGTGCGCGTGTGCGCGTGTGCGCGTGCGCGCGTGTGCGCGTGCGCGTGTGTGCGCGTGTGCGCGTGTGCGCGCGTGCGCGTGTGCGCGTGTGTGCGCGCGTGTGTGTGTGTGTGGTGTGTTGTGTTGTGTTGCGTTGTGTTGTGTTGTGTTGTGTTGTGTTGTGTTGTGTTGCGTTGTGTTGTGTTGTGGTGTAGTGTGGTGTGGTGTGGTGTGTGTGTGGGTGCGTGTGTGTGTGTGTGTGTATGGGGGGGGGGGGTGCGTGCGTGCGCGCGTGGGTGTGTGTGTGGGTGCGTGGGTGCGTGCGTGCG